AACGGTAATACGGATCACCAACTACTTCATAGATAACGTCCTCCGACATTACATGTCCACACAGATATCGCCAAGATGTTGAAGATATGGTCTATGGTAAGTCATCTTGTCTGTTTCAGTCTGCTCTATGCGACATGCTCACCATGGACGCGTAGAAATCCGCGCAACAAAAGGCGGACAACGCCGAGGGTGCAGGCGGTAAGAAGAAAAAGGTCACATCCGCGCAACTGCGAGTGCAAAAAGGTAAGCGACGAGATCATGTCTTGATCTTGCTGGCTGCCCTTGCTCACTTCAGTCCAATCTAGATCTCTCCGAGTTGTCCTTAGGCACGACAATGAAGACGATATTCCCGGACCCTGACGACATCCTAAACTTCGTCCTAGAGATCATACCAGACGAAGGCATCTACCAAGGCGGCCGATTCACGTTTACCTTCACGATGGGCCCTACCTACCCCCACGAACCCCCAAAGGTCCGCTGCCAACAGAAGATCTACCACCCGAACATTGATTTGGAGGGCAAGGTGTGCTTGAACATTCTACGAGAAGACTGGAAGCCCGTCCTGAATCTGAACGCCGTTATTGTGGGTTTGCAATTTCTATTCCTCGAGCCCAACGCATCCGATCCGCTCAACCAGGAGGCGGCGGACGACCTACGCGCGAGCCGAGACCACTTCCGACGAAACGTGCGAGCGTCGATGAATGGCGGTTCAATACGCGGGACTACCTACGACCGCGTTACATACACCAACTCCTAGTTACAGGGTTGTGATTTCGACGTTGAGGACTAAATTATCTCGGTACTCAAGGGGCCCCTATTAGGCAGACGCACACTCCCTGTTCATACCTATTCAAGATGTCATGGCATGGTTTCGTTCAGACGAATTCCCACCATCTGAACTGAAGGAGTAAGGCTAAGGGAGAGAGGGAAAAGAATGAATGAACGAATGAAGCTACGGGCTGGCTTTGCACACAAACATATAGCAAGGCGTTACTGAGATGCAGCATTTGCTTGAGAGTTATGGGGAATAGTGCTGGATCTTGTCTCTGCCTTCAGGGTCTTCTCATATGATAGTGGAAGAGCTTTGGTAGGCAGAGCATGACGCATTGCATAAATGGTAACGGTTCATTTAACGAAATAATTTTGATCGCGATGAATGTGACAAGTTTTATAATGCTGATGATTTTAGTGTTGATGTTGATGTTGATGTTGCTATATGAATCTTCAAATTGGTTCATCGACCAACGATCTAACGTTCAAGATATTGGTTCTATCGTCACCGCCTATCTGCATTGTAGTGTAGTCCGTTATTCTGGCACGACATCTGTAATCGCAATCGCAGGGGCCGTTGGTGGGATAGAGTTAATAAAGTATCGGTACCCAAAAAGGGATGCGGGGCTTAAACTTCAAAGCAGCAATCATCCTTGATCCATACAATTTGGAGTCACCGTTATGTATCAGTACTTGCTAGAGCATTATGCATCTCAACCCACACCTTACGTTAGCTAGAACGATTACTTCCCCCACCATTGGCTACTAGATGGTGGGTTGATTGGATTCACCGCCGAAGTCGCAGCTTTTTAAGCTACATAATGTTTCCACAAGTTCTTTAGCAGTACGTGGTGGTAGTAGTGGTACTTACCTAGCTCCCGAGACCCTGGGAAAGGAAAAAAAAGAACATAAAATAAAAAAATTTGATGAAAAAAAGTCGAAAAATTCTTTGACTCGCGGATCGGAGCTCAATTTGTCCATTTTTTAATAATATCTAATTGTGTCTCTCTATCTTCAAACCTCCCATCCCCCTCCTATCTCCACTCAACCTATATCCTTCACGATGGCTTCTAGAGGTTTTTCCAAGGCTCTTCGTAGCCAATTGGCTCGTCGTGTGGCCTCGCCTGCTGTGCAGACTCGCTCTTTTGTTGCTGCGTCCAACATCGCCAGAGCTACCATCAAGGCTCGTCCTGCTGTAGCTGGTGCTGTTCAGCAGCAGATCCGTGGTGTCAAGACCATTGACTTCGCTGGTGTACCTGAGGAGGTCTACGGTATGTTCAATTGATTGTTTAATAGGAAGAGCATGTTGGCTGATATCGCTATAGAGCGTGCCGACTGGCCCAAGGAGAAGCTCTTGGTAAGTTCCATATATCAACCCTCCAATATTCTTATGTCGACAATGACTAATATTACCCAAAGGACTACTTCAAGGACGACACCCTCGCCCTCATCGGCTACGGTTCGCAAGGTCACGGTCAGGGTCTTAACCTTCGTGACAACGGCCTTAACGTCATCATCGGTGTCCGAAAGAACGGTCAATCGTGGAAGGATGCTGAGCAAGATGGCTGGGTTGCCGGCAAGAACCTCTTCGAGGTTGACGAAGCCATCTCCAAGGGTACTATCGTCATGAACCTCCTCAGTGATGCTGCCCAGAGCGAGACCTGGCCCGCCATCAAGCCCCAGCTCACCAAGGGCAAGGTATGCTATTGTGAGTCACACATCTCTAAGGGACATACCTGTTAACAATGCACAGACCCTCTACTTCTCCCACGGTTTCTCCCCCGTCTTCAAGGACGTTACCAAGGTCGATGTCCCCAAGGACATTGATGTCATCCTCGTTGCCCCCAAGGGTTCCGGCCGAACTGTCCGATCCCTCTTCCGTGAGGGCCGTGGTATCAACTCCTCCTACGCCGTTTTCCAGGATGTCACTGGTAAGGCTGAGGAGAAAGCCCAGGCCCTCGGTGTTGCCGTCGGCAGTGGTTACCTCTACAAGACCACCTTCGAGAAGGAGGTGTACTCCGACCTGTACGGTGAGCGTGGTTGCTTGATGGGTGGTATTCACGGTATGTTCCTCGCCCAGTACGAGGTTCTCCGAGAGCGTGGCCACAGCCCTAGCGAGGCCTTCAACGAGACCGTCGAGGAGGCTACCCAGAGCTTGTACCCCCTCATCGGTGCCAACGGTATGGACTGGATGTACGAGGCCTGCTCTACCACCGCCCGACGAGGTGCTATTGACTGGACCCCTCGATTCAAGGACGCCTTGAAGCCCGTCTTCAACTCGCTGTACGATGCCGTCCAAGACGGCACCGAGACCAAGCGATCCCTCGAGTACAACAGCCAGAAGGACTACCGACAGAAGTTCGAGGCGGAGATGGAGGAGATCCGCAACCTGGAGATCTGGAAGGCCGGAAAGGCTGTCCGGTACGTTTCATCCCAACGCCCACCAGGCGATATATCCTCTTCGTTCATCAGTAACTAACCATCCTTACCTTACAGATCCCTCCGACCCGAGAACCAAAAATAAATGCATTTGGTGTTTAAATTAAAATAACATTATCGGGATGGTTCAAAAAATTAACGGCAAAGGCAATATATTCCCCGGGGAAATAGGAAAAAAAATCAAAGCTTTATGTACTTGTATTCGAGCTTCCCAACGTCATATCATGATGTCACGAGGATCTTAGGGATATGATCCAGAAGCTGCTACTGCTCTAGTCGAGTGTGTGTGCGTGTGTTCAATGAAGCTTGTTTTTTTTTGAAATGAATTGTTCCTGAGCATCAAAACTTTTTCTCCTTTCTTTGCGAATTTGATGGTAGTTCTTTTTCTCCGTTATCGGACCTGATAACAAATCGTAGATTTCTGACTGGTTTGCGTTCTAGATCTTGGGTTAGATTCATAAAACTACTTGCCAAGTTTTTGCTGTGGTATTTTTGACATAACTGGGCTTGGTACTGTATATTGGGGTGGAATCACATCGGATTGTTGGTAGTCGAACCTTCACTTTGAACAACCCATATACTTTCTTTTTTACTTGTCTACCTACCTCTCGTAGCTATAGTTACATCATTTAACAATGGCCGACCCATCAACCTCGCCGCCGCTGACCCGGGCCTCGGTGTTCGCCGCGCAGGAGCTCATCAAGCCGTTCGTGCACCGGACGCCGGTGATATCCAGCTCCTCGCTGTCGGAAATCGCCTCGACTTCGGATCCGGCAGGTTCTGCTGGAGGAGAGCAGCAGCATAAGGCCAAGCCGAAGCTACGGCTCTGGTTCAAGTGCGAGAACTTCCAGAAGGTGGGCGCTTTTAAAGCCCGAGGCGCGTTCCATGCTATCGAGCGCTTGAAGCGCGAGCCCGGTTGGCTGGCTGGAGGGGGCGCGGAGAGGGGCGTTGTTACGCATAGTTCTGGTTGGTGATTTTCTAATTACATTTCGTGCTTCTTATTTGGTTTCTTGCGTTACTGCTGCTTTTGTTGCTACGATTTTGCTCTTCTCGAGTCGAACGAGGTCAAGACACACTCTAGGGTTGAGGTAAATGATAGGAGAAACTAGAGGTTGTTTATAGAAGGGGAAGAGAAGGAGAAGAAAAAATAATACAGATACCCTCGAAACTAGAAATAAGAATATGATGAAAATAAGAAGAAGGCGAGGGTAAACTAACAAAGCAAAGGAAACCACGCGCAAGCCCTCTCGCTGGCAGCACGCACCAACGGCATTCCGGCCTACATCGTAATGCCGACCATCTCGGCGCCGCCCAAGATAGCAGCAACGAAAGGATACGGGGCGCAGGTGGTCTTCAGCGGCAGCACGAGCGTCGAGCGCGAGGCTGTGACGAAGAAGGTCATAGAAGAGACGGGTGCTCGCTTCGTGCCACCTTACGACCACCCGGATATCATCCTAGGACAAGGCACCCTGGGACTCGAGTTCCAGGAACAGGTTGTCGAGCTGATAGCCGAGCAGGAAGAGAGGCAAGGGAAGGAGAAGAGCAACAAGGGCCTTGATGCTATTCTGGTTCCTTGCGGTGGCGGCGGCAGTAAGTACTTACTTGTTTAATATGTTACCTCCTACCTGCGTGATCCCTTACCACACATACTTCTTTCCTTTCGTCTCATCTCAGAAGCACTGGGCCTACTCGTCTCTTAGCCTCGTGTCCCACCCGAGTCGACGCTACACACACGCACACAAACATGTATTCCGCACCATATGGGTCTCTGTCACAGAAAATTTTCTTAATGCCCATTGGCCCAGTGGTTAAGGCGTCTGACTGTTAGTTAGCCAGCTATGTGTAGCTAGCCCAACGGAAGAAATCAGAAGATCCCTGGTTCGACCCCAGGATGGGCAGATACATATATTCATTTCCTTTTTTTTTTTTTTTTTTTTTTTTTTTTTTTCTCCTTTTCTTCTAATCTTTTTTTATTATCGTCCAATCCAGGCTCTTCTTCTTCTCTTGCCCTTCTTCACTCACATACCCAACAACCCAACATCAATACCTTCCTTGTAACTAAAACCTAACCAAACCACCTAAACTAACCCATCCCGCCCCACCAACCACAGTGCTCTCCGGCGTAGCCCTCTCCTGCGAGGGCACCCGGATCCGAGTCTTCGGCAGCGAGCCCTCGCACCAGGGCGCGGACGACGGCAAGCGGGGCTACGAGGCCGGGGCGCGCGTGGAGGCGGTCCGGAGCCTGACCATCGCCGACGGCCTGCGCACGCCCGTCGGCCGCGTCCCGTGGTCCGTCATCCGCGAGCGCCGGCTCGTGGCCGGCTTCTACAGCGTCGCCGAGGACCAGATCCGCGCCGCGCTCCGGCTCGCCTGCGAGCGGCTCAAGCTCGTCGTCGAGCCCAGCGCCGCCGTGCCGCTCGCCGTCGCCCTGTACGACGATGACTTCCGCGCGCTGGCCGAGCGCGAGGCCGCCGAGGACGGCTGGGATCTGGGGATCGTGCTTAGTGGTGGGAATGTTAGTCTGGATGCCTTGGGGAGGTTGCTTGCTGTGGAGGGGGAGGGGGAGGGGGAGGGTGGTGGTTCGTGAGTAGGTACCTATGTGTGATGGTGCCTTGATAGGTAGGCAGGTACTGATGTGGTGTCTATCTATCGTGTGAAGGGTATGTAAACAGAATACTAAATTCATACCGAGTCATAAAAATATGTGTGTGGTCTTGGTGTCCATTAAATAGTATATATGTCTCATTACATCGTAAGCAACGACTGTTTCGCCCCTATTTACTTGGGTATCTCAGGTTATGTACTACTACTAAGTACCTACCTAGGTACCTACCATCTTAGAGCTCATTTATTAAGGGCTTTGTCCATCTGCTCTCTCCACTTCCGACTATTCTTTCTCAAGAAATAGATGCAGATGTTTCCGCTCAGCCAGGCGATCAACCCAATCATGGTCATCAGCCAGCCTACTCCCATGACGTCGATAAGGGGCTGGCCCACGATGCCACCAGTGCAGCTGAAGATGTTTCGGACGAAATTGTTCAGTGCCACGCCGCTGCTGCTCTTCTTCGGCATGAACTCCGTGAGCATGGTGGTCGCCGCGCTGAACACGAGCATGCTGCCGACGCCGAAGAAGAAGTTGGCCACCGACGGCGCGGCCCAGTGGATGCCGTACTGCAGCGTCCACCCGGACCAGATCAGCGCGCCGGGGAACAGCGTCGCCGAGATCCAGGCGTTCTCGCGCATGCGGTCCTCGGGCAGGTAGATGAGCTTCCCGTCGGCGTCGCGCCGCTGCGCTTTCTCCGCCGCCCGGACCATGATGCGATCGATCCATCGACCGCCCAGCATCGACGCCGTGAAGTACCCCAGCGAGCTCGGCAGGTATAGCAGACCGATGATGATTGCCGAGTAGTCGTACGGCGGGCTCGAGAACGACGACTGGAGCGAGATGTTGAGAACGTAGAGCGAGCCGAACGTGACGGCGGCGTAGTAGACGGTGATCGCTACCGCGGGGAAACGTAGGTAGGTGATGACATCGAGCGGGTCGATCAAGCATCGCTTCAAGGAGGCGGCCGCCTGCTTCACAGAGCGCGCGGTATTGACGCGCGTCAGTTCGTTGTTGGCAGAGGACGGTTCAGGCTTGCGCTTGGCCAGGGTCTCCGGGACGAAGAACAAAATGAGGACGAGAATAACAGCGCCGTAAGCGGTGAGGAACCACATCGTGCTCCTCCAGCCGAACCCTTCGGTGAGAGCACCGCCGATGATGGGTGCTAGAAGCGGTCCCATCAGAGGTCCCAAGTAGAAGTAGCCCATCGCACGGCCACGCTCTCGAGGTTCCCAAATGTCGGCGATGGATCCGGCGCCGACGGCCTGGACGGAAGCGGCCGCTCCACCCGACAGGATTCGGAACACGATGAGCATGCCGACATTGACACTCAGGCCGCTAAGCAGAGAGAATATGACGTTTAGCAGGAAGGACGACAGATAGATGTTCCGTCTTCCCAGCGTCTCGGAGAAGGAGCTCCACCAGAGCGGGAAAATTGACATTGCCAGCATGTACAATGCTACCGTCAAGTTGACTATTGTCGAAGACGAATCAAGGTCCTTGGCCATGTCCGGAAGGGCAGCTTGTATGATGTGAGTAACTCTTCTGATAGGAGCAAATGTAGGTCATTTTACTTACGGTAGAAGATGGCAGATCCCATGGGCGCGGCGCACGCAGCCAATGCTATGAACAGCGTGATTATCCATTTGATCTTGTGTGGATAATCGTAGGGTCGTTCAACCTCCGGGACTAGGGTTAACTGGGCGAGGAAGCCTCGTCGTTTTAGCCGTGGAACCACAGACAAGGCTCCGGATCGAGTGGATGAGGCTTGTGATCTGGCTCGTCGTGTAGACTTAGCAGCTCCGGCCTCTTCGTCAATTGGAAATCCGTTGGGGGTTAGTAGCTCCTCAGGGACGATGTCTAGCGACTCGTTGTTTGTGCTAGTGATGGAGCCAGCAGCATCATCTTCGTCAGGACGTGTTCCGTTGAATCCAGCATCCTTCTTCTCATCCACCATCCTTTCTGGCTCGAGCGCCATGATTAGTATCTGTTTTACGTCCGGCGGTGAGGGTAAGGGAAAATAGCAGGGCTGGAACCGATATCGGGTAAGCAAGATGGAAGTTCAGTATAGGGATATAGAATATATCAAAAATTAGGAATATTCATTGGAAGATATCGTAACTATATACTAATAGAATAACTACAAAAAGATTGTAGATATTTCCAAGAATACGAAAAACCGTGAGGTTACATGAAGCTCGAGATACGGAATAGCAAATAAGTACTGGAAGCAGAAAAGTGTGACTATCAGGGGTTCGACAATAAGATGTGAGGTTAGAGCATTATCACTTAGATAGTGGGGACCTTATACCAGATAATAAGCTTATTAGCTTATTCCTTTGTGCATCAGTGTTGCAACGATTCATCGATCGAGCAGCTTTAGCTCGTGTGGAGAAGGAGTACAGGGGAATAAGGAATAAAAAAAAAAAAAGTGAATTGGGTATGAATTGCCGAGGAGCTATTATCGTGACGTCGGGTCAACTATTCCACCCGGTTAGCAGTTCCGGTACGCAGAACAAAGGGCCTGGCATGGTATAGGTAGCAGCAGTGAAGGTTGCCCTGCAGGTGACACTGATGTTCTACCACGTTAACATGCAACCGCCTATCCATGTTCGTGGGTTACCTTGGCGCCAGCAACGACATCGAAGAAAGTGAACAGTAGAAACCCCTTGTGAATCATGACTTTTCATATAAGCTTGTCTTGACTTTAACAGATATAGTTGTCACGGAGCCGGTTGTTTAATTTCTCGGGTAGAGAGACACGGGATGAATCCCATTGATACATCATCCGAAAGACGGCGACAGGTTTTAGGCGACTTATCCGGCCGCTAAGAAGATAGTTCGCTCGAATTTTGGGCTATGATTGGTCAATTGGTGAGATCATGCATCCTTCAACGGGTAGGAGACTGGTTATCATCCGAAAGCTGGACTTGCAGATAGATACTCAAGAGATTCTGACTACCTAGCGAAATACTGTGAGTCATGTGTATTTTGACGAGAATGAAATTTCTGTTTTGTTTTTTGACTAAACAGAGATAGATAGTAGAGGCTGAGTTTCTCAAGAAAGAAAAAAAAAAAAAAAGGGAGAAAGAAAAAACCTAGGAACCGTTGTGGCTGGAGATCTACCCCTCATAAAATTTTAGTGGCTTCGCCGAGAATAACCTTGAGCCGGTGTTATCCAGGAATCGATACACTGGTGATTCACCTTCCGATATAGGATACATCCCACATTGCTTGCTCAAGTCAATAGGTATTATCAAGCAGATGTCTCTGACAAGCGCTTCCCCATCAGATGCTGCTAAGTCAGCAAAAGAGGCATCGCATATCCTCGCGACGCTATCAGAATCCGATAGGAACGATGCGTTAACAGCCATCCACGCTGGCCTTGCTGCGGCCAAGGATGACATGTTGGCTGCCAATGCTCGTGATCTCGAGGCTGCACGATTGGCGGCAGAGAGTGGTCAATTGAGTCAAAGCTTGGTATCGAGGTTAGACTTGGGAAAGAAGGGAAAATGGGAGGATATGTTGAAAGGAATATTGGATGTTCGAGGCCTTGACGATCCTGGTAAGTCTGACTACCTAGACAGCTGAGATGAATGCACGTGCATCTAATAGCATCGAAGTGGGCAAGATCACTCTACGAACAAAACTGGATGATGGGCTGGAGCTGACGAGAGTCACTTGTCCCATTGGCGTTCTCCTGATCATCTTCGAGGCCCGACCCGAAGTCATCGCCAATATCGCCTCCCTCGCCATAAAATCAGGCAATGCAGCTATCCTGAAGGGTGGCAAGGAGTCTACGGAATCTTTCATTGCCATCTCCAAAGTCATCTCCGCGGCTCTGGACAAGACGAAGGTTCCCAATGGCGCCATTCAACTGGTCACCACAAGAGATGTGATACCGCAGTTGTTGGATTTGGACCAATACATTGATCTTGTAATTCCTAGGGGCTCCAACGAATTGGTCCGATATATTAAATCCTCTACGAAAATCCCAGTCCTTGGCCACGCTGACGGGCTATGCTCCATATTCCTCGAGCAGTCGGCAGACCCAAAGATGGCAGTAGATGTCATCGTTGACTCGAAGACCAGCTATCCCGCCGCGTGCAACAGCTTAGAGACGATGTTGGTTCAGGAATCTGCACTAGATACCCTACTACCCCCAGTGGCCGAAGCGCTGAGCGCAAAAGGCGTCGCTCTACGCTGCGATGCGAAGAGCAAGGCGGTACTTACTAGCAAGCTGTCATCGGATCTTGCCGCCAAGCTTGAAGACGCCCAAGATGTCGACTATGATACC